TTAAATGATAAGGAAGGTATGTGTAATTTTAAAACCTTGAGGGAGCTAAATGAAATTGTTAAAACCTCAAGGGAGGTTTCTGAAATTTTCCCTAAATATATTTTTGAAGATTATGGGTCCCAATAATCATTGCAGTTTGTTAAAAACAAGAATCGAATCACAACTTTAAAGGCAAACTACTCCTGCAAAACGAAGAACTTTAACCATCTCCAGTCTTTTGAAAACTTGGTAAAGTAGATAAAAACCAAATTAATGGAGAGGAGGGTTCACTTCTAAGTTCTAAGTCCAATCAGAATGCAAGGAAAAAGATAAGCATATCTAAAGTGCAAATAAACAAGTCTTTTGCGATTTAGGAAAGTGCATGACATTATCACATAGACTCTCTTTTGCCTTTTGTTTTTCTGTACACTACTCATTAATTTCTCCGCTCTATTTTATATGTTATGGTCAATTTTGTATACAGTCTGACAAACGAAGAAAATTAATAAGAATAAATTGAAAGAGAACAGTAATGAGGGAAAAAATTGCATGTAATATCAATTGCATTCTTTCTTACAATCTCCTTGTAGTCAATTGTTCCTTTTTCTTCTTTTTTTTCCCTTTTAGGAATTCTATAGAGTTCACTCCATAAAAGTTGTGTATTAGCTCAAATACAAGTGCATTAATCTCAACTTCCGAAATTGGCTCCTAAATGTCTTAATAAGTATTGAAGAAGTCACAAAGATATAAAATAGGGGGATAGTGAAATATTATCATGAGTTTTCGTATTGGTATTTGACATATTAGTTTCCAAAAGAAAAAGAGTTATTGTCCATTGCAAAGCATTCCACATTGACATATTACTCTACTATGCAGACCAAAATTAGCGTACTATGCTCGAATGGCACAGTGCTTTGCCAACTTCAATTTTGTGGTCACAGTTCTGTTTCGATTGCTATTTTTAAGAATTCTTATAAAAAATACATTATAATAATTTGATATATGTAAGATTAAAAAATGATAAAAAAAATATATTCACAAAAAATATAAAAATTTTGGGAAAATAACCTATTTCATCCCTTACATTTCACAAAAATATTCTTTTCGTTCCTAACATTTAAAAATTAAACCTATTACATCCCTAAACCTAATTGTCAATCTGAATCAAACCATCCAATTAGCCAGTAATAAATTTCGGAGATAGAATTGATAGATCATTCCGTCAACTCCATCATATTCACATGACATTTATTGAACCAAAAAAAAAATAAAAAGTATAACATAAAAGGTCATTCTTTGTATTGGAATAATAAGGTTTCTTTTTTGGGTAAATCTTTTCATGTACCATTAGTATATACACTTGCGAGTCTATATGTATATCATAAATACAAAATTGGTGTTTAAATTTAAATTGAAATGATGTGGCAAGTACATAAACCCGTCAGTATATACAATGACAATGTAGGAAAGATTAATTCTTCTTTTTTATGTTATAATTTTTTCTTTTTTCTTTTTGGATTCATTAAATTTCACGTGAATATCAAGTTGAGTTAGTCAAGTGATTGACCAATTATACCCCCAAAATTTGTAATTAGGTTGATAGATGGCTTGATTCATATTGAAAATTGGGTTTAGGGACGTAATAACTTCTGTTTTTAAATATCAATGATGAAATTGCTTCATTTTAAAAGTAAGGAATGAAAAGAATAATTTTGTGAAATGTGAGGGATGAAACCGGTCATTTTCCCAAAAATTTTTCCTAAAAAAGTTATAATCCAAATAATACTTCTTTATTCCCGTATATTTCTTGATTTTGTTTTCTTTTTTTTTCCCCTCTAAATCTGTGGCAAAATCCCAAAAGCCACCATACCGGGATCTAAAAGCTGGTTGAAGTCTACAGACAAAGAGAATAAGGGCCATCTTGCCTGAAGCAACATAGATAGGTCCTACATCAACTGCTTATTTCCACATTTACTATTTAGAGTTAGCTCTCCTGTACATTGAATTTCGTACAATTTGGCTTTTGATTAAGTAATGGGGAAGGCAAGCATTTATAAGAGGCTGTAAAGGTTTGTTTTTGGCGCGTAAGAATTCACTTGTTGGACCCTCAGTTCTAGTGCTAGTTCCATAAGAGGCTTTCTTGGGGGGATTATTCATTTCTCTTGCCCTCTTATTTGACGTGACTCGACCGTTCGTTGAAAACTAATTCGATTATCTGTTAGATAAAATCATAATTAAACATAGGATTAATTTCACTTTTGTTGACATATTTTAAACCATGAATATTTGGAATTTTAGTAGTTTTAAAAACTGATTTGTTATTTGGTAAGTATATTAAATTTGGTATTATAGTTGGTTTAGAAAACAGAGTTGAGTTATATTTTGGTATTATAATTAAAATAGGATTTGTGGTAATATTTCTCTATTTAAGCACTTGGAATCCTAGGTTTGTAGTTGAGAAAAATTCATGAATTGAACCAAAATATTTTATTATCTCATGTGCTTTTCTTATTGTTTATTATTTGTAAGATTCTAATGTTACTTCCGTTGCGTGATTTTTTGTACTAACATGTGGTATCATAACCCTAATTTTAAGAGTTTGATCTTGGGGTATCTATGGCGTCTGAAGGGTGTGCAAAGTTTTTGATGGAGAAATCTGTGCCATACAAGGGTACAGAAATTGTGGTAGAGTACTCGTATATTAAAAAAATTGAGTCACGAGAGTTGGTCTTAGTGTATTCATTCATTGATTGGAATTGGGGAAAAGTGAATCTAATTGGACAGAGGTCTAAAAAGAGGACTCTGTTGACATTGTTGGTATTGTGCAGTAATCAGAAAAAAAAAAAAAAAGTCCTATCAAATTGTTGATTATCACAGTGGTATTTGATCAAATCTAAAGCCAGAGAGGCTAAGAAATTCAAGCAAGGAAAAAAAAATATTTGTGAAGGTAAGTAAATTGTTTTGAATTGTTATGGAGAGAGAATTTACCAATGATGAAAAATTTTAAATTTTATGCACACTTAGCAGTGATAAAGAAAGATCTGAATGGTCAAGAATAATACACAAATATCTTAAAAAGTGTTGTTTGGGTGAATTTCTTGAGATCAATTTAAATAGTGGTCCATCAAAAGAAATTAAGAGAAGGAAGGCCAAATTATTTTTCAAAATAATGCGAAAATCAATGGTTGAAGAGTATTACAAAAGACTTATCATCTTTTCTCAATCATTTCAATAGTTTAAGTCAGATCTCTTTTATATTTTGGTGATAGAATTTCCATATGAATCTAATCATAAGTAAAAAATTGGTTTGAAATGGGAAGTTAATTTGGAAGAGGATGTGTTTGTTGATGACAAAGAGATTTTTGACATTTTTTATACGATTGAAAATTATGATTTGCATACTTTGTTTGGGTGATTGATGAAGAAGAATTTGTTAGTGAATGCATTAATTTGATTGTAGACGAAGGGCAAAAAGAAATTGTTAGTGAAAGTTTTGATTTGAATGAAGATGTGCATGACAATATTTTAGTGGGTGCATTTTAGTTAGGGAATTCAGTTAGGGAATTCAGTTAAATAATTAATTCAGGTATATCGGATTAAGCAAACTCTTCGGGAACAGGGTGAATCAAGTAACCTATTGCACACCTAGAGTCCCTGCTCTAGTACTCGAATTGATTACTGACTGTTTCAGGTGGTAGTTAGGATTTATCTATTTATTTATTATTATTGCACAGGTTCGGCACCTGTCATGAAAGTTTTGATTTGAATGAAGATGTGCATGACAATATTTTTGAGGTGATTGAATCTATTGAAAATTTTTACAATGAAAATTATTACCATAAAGAATATTATGGAAGCCATGATTTATTGGTTGAAAATAGTGTGAATTATTATTATCCAAGAAAATATGAAGACTCTAATAGTGAATGGGTCAATATGGATGAATTTTTTGATGAAGCGAAATTGGCTGTCGAATTGTGTGCAAAGTAAAAGCATGTCCTACTCCTATCGGTGAAGTTGGAGATAACAATTAAATTAGAGTTACGTGTGAGCTATACTGCTATAGAGTTAAGTCATATTTGGTTTGAGAAACAGAGTTGTCATATTTTAATATTATCATTAGAATAGAATTTGTGGTTATATTTCTTTATTTAAGCACTTGGAGTCCTAGGTTTGTAGTTCAAGGAAATTAATGAATTGAAGCAGAATATTTTTCTTCCTCCCGTGCCCTTTTTATTGTTTATTATTTGTAAGATTTTAATGTTAATTCCGCTGCACGATTTTTTGTGCTAACAACTTTGCATCTTTGAATTATATTTAGACTTTTACTTTGATCTCTAAACTTTAAACTGGACACTGTAGTCTCTAAAGTCTATCTTACTTAAATAAAATCTATTCCACCTTAATCCTTAAAATATCAATTTTTTTTATACTTTAGTCTCTAAAGTGTGACAAATTGTATACTTGAGTGGGAAAAAATTTATACTTTAAAAACTAAAATGGGACAGATTTTATTTAAGTAGAACATATTTTATATTCGAGGGAGTAAAGCAATTCAGTTTCAATATTAGGATTCAAAGTGAAAATTCAGGTATATAGAAAGGTGCAAAGTGAGATTTACCTTTAAAACAAATGAAAAATGGGAAGTTACAGAGACACTGTGACTAAAAGTTGGAGGCTATCCTTATTGACTATTCTTTCAAACCTATGGCTATTTTTATCTCCTTATTCCTAAATTTTAGACATCTTTACCTCCTATGCTTCAGAAACTCACGCAATATCCTTGTTCTTGTCCTTAACTTTTAATATTACCGTGTCTTGATGCTACTAAAATTCTTAAACATATATTAGATAGAGAGAAGTATTTGTTGCTAAAGCATTGGTTTTCTGCCATTGTTAGCGCTTTTAGAGTTTGGAAACGTGATTTTACTTGATCTCTATTCTCACGGTGGATATTTTTTCCTTATTTCAGTCCCCAATTATGGTAAAAAGTGTAGGCAATCCATGAGGACAGGCATATCCAACTCAAACTTTAGAAAATCTTCATGAACCATTTAAGCCCATTCATTTTGGTTCATTTGAAAAAGAAAAAATTTATCATGTTTCCCATTTTGCTTGATCAAACTGAGATACAGATCTCCATACTTTGACAGAGAAATAATTATTGTGCCAAATCTGGTTAGACATGGCATACAAGTGATTGTATCTAGTGCACGGTTGCATCGATGCATGCAGTGCTGCTGCTACTGTGATGTAGAAATCTGCCAATCATATTCCCATACCGCGCTGTCTTCGAATATTGTTGGCAAGGACCTACTTTGCTCCTAGAGAAATTGCGAATGCCAAAAACAGATGGTGAGAAAAGGAGAAGAAAACAACAAATCATTTCTTTTTTATTGAAAAGGCTTGATAAATATTATGCAGAATTAACTCTAGTATATCCAATCAAGTAAGCCCCATTTTGCCAAAAAGAAAGAAAAAAAAAGCTTTTTGGAGATTCATAGCCTCGACTTACTTGGGATCGATCAGGAAGGACTAGCAAGTTCTTCATGATTTCTTGGAACATCCGTGATACCTAAGTACTTGGGTATAATGGGATTGCGCCTTAGCAACTTTACTTCAGTTAATAATACATGTAAAAGAAACACACACAAAAAAAAAAAAATCTTTAGCTTTTTCAACGATAGTTGAATCAATGATAAAGTATGCAGTTACTGCCCGTGTGTGGAGATAATTATTGATTGATCAACATTAATGAGCAACGTTTATCACCAAGATTAGGAAAAAAATTATTTGTTGGTGCCTGTCTAGTCTTGTCCAGAAATTTGATTGTCTGTATCCTCAGACATCCGTTTGATAATTTCCAACTCTCAAAATTCATTTTCCCATTGTTTTCCTCCAATCATTAAACACCCTAAAGAGTAGAAATCCCTTAATCCTACAACCTAAAGGGTAATGCAAACTATTAAACCGACATGACAACTAGTACGAGTTTGTTAACATGATAAACATCAGCATAACGTTTTTAATGCACAAGGGGCCAGTTCCAGTGAGCATGCTTTAGTTTCTATTTCCTTTTCAAACTTGAAATAAAAGCCTATTATAAGCTAAAAAGTAATTAAAGGTTTTCAGTTGGGATTCAATTTGGTCTTCTTCATGAGCCACAACGTCCTTTTTAAAGCCCATACCAATCAGTTTAAGGATGCCAATCAACTTCTAACTTCATCCGTATATGTCAATGTCAGTGTCATATTTGAGGCAGTCTCTATATGGTACATCAATTTCACCTTTGCCAAGCCAGTTTTTAGTTTTGGAAAAGCTTCACTCAAAAACCAGTCCTCTTTTAGTCTTTCAAAATATCCTCTTTTACTTTGTCATTTTCTTTTACATGGATGACAGGAGCAAAGAAGAGGAAAGGGTGAGTTCTAAATTTTGATGTAGCATTCAACACAAGTGAACAATTAGTTGTAGAATGTGCAATAGTCTGTTTGCAAATGAAACTTTAGTCTAGCATAGAGGTTCACTATAGCTAGTTCTATACTCTTGCTTTCGACGATTGTTACAAAATCAACTCAAGAAAACAAAGGGAAAAAAATGGCACCTAGCTATAGATAGACAAGATCACTCCCTAAAGCCTGTTAAGAGGTAAAAGGAGGACAGCAAAATCCAAAACATATCCTACAATCAGCTACTTCTACACGAGAAATTATAACAGCAGTAAATTTTATCCCTCTTTTGCTTTAAGGTAAGGTATCTTTTGTCTCTCCCTTTTCCAAAATCCTTTCCTAAACTTTGCTTTTGCAAATGCACTCAATGCACTGCTTTTTCTCAATAAAGGCAAGAAGAATAGACAGGTAAAGAAATATCTTTCACTGGCCATGTCCCGGGCATGGCATGTTGGAGCTCAGTTATAACAAACTGAAAAATGTGGAAAAAAAAAAATTAACCGGGCACTGACGATAGAAAATCACCTAGAAACTAACGGGAAAATGACCCTACAGTCGCATTCTAGCAGGGCACTCACCCGCACTCTTAGGCCCGTGAGATTTTTCTCTGGCAGTCAACATCACTGCAAGCTGGAAACTAGTTCTCTTAAAAGCTTCTGCATTCCACATGGATTGCAGGAATATCCATCTACCAAAGAGAATGAGACTGCAGATGAACAAAATTTGATGGACTGTTGCAAAAATCATTTTCTTTTGTTGTTATGCAGCATCATAATAAGTAAGGCAGCTATCGTATGGACAAGAAAGAAGAACAGGAAGTTCGTAATACCATGTTGTATCTGACTAGCTTGCTGCTGCTTGCACATAGAAGTTATCAATGGACCTAAGCGCTCATCCTGCCAATTTGCTCCATCATCATCCAGAACTAGCGGGCAGATATAAGCTTCCAATTATGAGCCACGCACCTGATATCACTGTCATGTTAATCTTCCAAGAAAAATAACTCCTTGGGGCAATTTTAATCCAAGACCATATATCCATCCTGATCCATCCATTTTTAATGGATTTGGATGAGAAGAAAAAATGTATCTTGGATCTAAATGGTTTATCCAACTTAACCCATTAAAATGGTGGTTTTACAATCCATGTGGATCCATATACATTCATTTGTACTGAAAAAGAAGTTTCCAACTCAGCTATGACTCCTCGTGGTTATCAAACGATATGAGCATTCTTTTTCCGGAGGTGATTTTAATGCTGGTGGAAGGTCTAGCCATTCACATCCTGTAAAACCCGTTTTATTTTTGTTTTGTTTTTGAACTCTTTCTTGTTTTGGTGCTAAAAAAAAAGAGTTCAAAAAATAAAAAATTAAACGAGTTTTACAAGTAAAGATCTCAATTAGCTATTCACCTAGTAGTAGTACGAGAATGATTTTGGGAAAATTAAGTGAGAGCTTAATGAATCTAAAGTGGGTTGGGTTAATATTATCCGCCAAACATTTAATATGAACCCTCATCAATGATCCATTAATTAATCCATTTTGACTTTCCTAGGTTTGTTGATAAGTTTGTCCTAGACTTGTATAGGGTCTTTCGTTGATAAGTCTATCAGTAATGCAATTTTGCCTTCTCGTTTCTTGTCGGTGCCAGGGGTATGCCGCCACTTATACTTGGTAGTATTTCATTTTATGTACTAATAAAATCTCACTCGTTCAAATAAAAAATAAATAAATACACAAAAACTCTGTGGTCATACTATTCTTTTTTTTTTTCATGTTCTTGGAAAATTAGTGATTGTTGAAAAATCCAAGAACCAGCTATCCCTTCTGTTCATAAACCTTATTGTGTAAGCCAATTAGACGACACATTCAAGAAGAACTTTATGATCTTGTTAAGGATCATTAGAACTTCAATGGTTCACATTTTTTCTCTCCTGAACCTTCAGTTTGTTCCATTGCAAATGGTTGTGACCTTAAGGGAAGAAGAATTTGAAGTTGCTCCACTTGTAAAAGACCATTCATGATGAAAGTACAAAACTGGGGTATGGGTAACACCACAGCATTATCTAGTATGTAGTGAATGCCTAGAAAACTACACAGTGTGTGAAAACGCTTTTGGTTCAGTTAAAGCCCAAATATGCTGATGTATCCCTCTTCAGTAAGAGGGCCAGGGCTATCTCTTTTTCTCTGTGGTAACTCTTTTGGTCCTTTCTGGAGAGGGGTACTACTTATTAGAATCCACAGGATTATACAGTTTGTTTGGATTGGAGTTTATTTGGATGATTTATTTGAGATAATTACTGTAGTACTTTTTGTGATGTGATGTATGTGAGATAAAAAAGTGATTAGAAAGATAAAAAGGTAATCGAAATTTGTGAAGTAAATTATTTTATTTCAAAACTATGCAATCCAAGTACTGTCTTTTATAGCAGCTACTTAGCTAGCAGGAATGGGAGCGGGTCGAGTACCCGCCCCGTCCATCATTTGACTGATCCGACTCGCACTTTACGGATCAACCATTTTCTGATTCTTATCTGCCCTGCATATCAACGGAAACCCGATTATAGGGTACCCGCTAAGATAGGGTCGGATCAATGGATAACCGCCTCGCCCTATTTATCATTTAATTTTTTAGAAAAAATGATTGCATTAAGAACCTAAAAATTACTTCTTTTTTTTTGCCAACAACGAAAACTGTTTGTATAACCCATTCTAACCTAATCTAAGGAAAGAGGGAGGGAGAAGCCACAAATAGTGGCTGATAGGAGGCAAGGATCAAACCCTTGACCTCCCACCTCTACCAAGACTTAAAAATTACTTGATGAAGTATTTCACTAAGAACCTGAATTTAGGTGTAGCCTTTATAAGTTAGCACAGGACAGAGCTATAGCCAATACTATCAATTCATACAAGAACCAAGCCCACGGAAAGAAACATGAAGTGACAGCAATCCGAGGTAAGTGTTTCGCAAATCTAGAGTCACCTTGAACATGTCTATAGCTGTTCGTCACGTTTCATGTGAGTTCTCCACACAAGAGAAACCAGTTTTCCAAAAATGAAGACCAACTTAGAGTTACAGCAATAGTAAAGAGAGCAAATCAGGAGGAATTCAATGGAACTTGTCCCCCAGCAAAAAGTGCTGCATAAGTTTTTAGTGTGAAGATAAAAACAGGAGCCAGAGAAGATTGTACAAATTGTACTACTTACAATGATAAACCTGGATTTTACTTTTAGCCACAAAAAAAAAAAGCCTAATTTTGCAAAAAGAAAAGAGGAAACCTAAGAGACAACTCTTAATGGGAAAGAAAAGTACATTTTTCAAGATTTGATCTACATGCACATCTTGATTAAACTTCAATTTCCACAAGTGACCTATCGCTCGAGTGCTCAATTACCAGATTCCGAGTTTTCTTAATAGGTAACAGTAGTATTATTTACAGAGAGTGAATGCTACATGTGGAAGAGGGATACTGTACAGACAGATGGTGAAAAGTTCATGCTAGATTTTATACATGTAATACTTGTCTCCATATTCTAAGAGAAGACATCTGCAACAAAACACCAATGCTTCACTGTGATGGTGGTTTTGCCAAGCGCTCATTTCCGAGGCAGCTAGGTTCAGCACTTTCTCAAGCCTTTGAACTTATGTGTTCCCACCCTGCCTTCTACACCAAAACAATGACAGCTAAAGCAATCCTTCGATTTTATACCTTTGCATCCAGGCATGCTAAAACCAGTCTTCAGCATCCACAGCTATTTAGAATCCAACAAAATTGGGTCAACACCAAAACGTAAAACGTTGCATTGAGGGTATCAAATTTAAACTACCTTCTCTGATATGTATTAGATATACACAAACTCAGGCTCATCATGACAATTCTAAGCAGCTATCTAAAAGATTGTTTATAGAGATCTAACTGTAAAGCTCACTCTAATTAATTCATAAAAAAAAAAAAATCTCAATAGACAAGGCAGCCTCGTCTATTTGGGAAGATTACATTCTAGAGACCTAGCCATTTCCAAGTTCTCTGTCTCTAGACATGTTCACTTATAGAGGGGGACGGTTGGGTTGGTTGATAGTTCAAGACCTCCCACTTACCAAAAAACAATTACAAAAAAAAAAAAGACATGTTCACTTATAAAACGAGGCTTCATTTTGTTTACTCCTGTAATGTGAATTTATTTTGTTATCCTCTGCTATGATTGATTTCTTTTGATGTCCAAAATAACTTCCTTGAATACTGTCTGATTTTGAGTAATAACTTCATTTTGGTGATGTTTAATTATGAAATTATCATTTTAGTTAAAAAGAAGAATTAGAGAATTTTAAATAAAAAAGAAAGAGAAAAAGAAAAGCACAAACTAATTATACTTACGAAAAAACTGATGCTTTCAACAACTTAATCTATCAAGTTCGTCATATGCAAATTAATTGCAGTGTTACTTATAGAACAAATTACGCATAATATTTGATCACCAAACTATTCAAAATGCATTACAGATGGATGTAAGTTTTCCCCCAATCTTGACAAGGTAAAATGAGTATATTGGTTCTTCATGAACTGAAAAAAAAAAAGTTGGCTTGTAAAATCTCTGAAGAAGGATAAGTACCATTGACTTGAAAATGGGAATACCTTTCAAAGCTGGAAGCATAGCAGATATCATAATGCAAGAGGCTAAACCAGTACTCAAACATGTTTTCTGCATCCCATTACTCTCTGAATATTGTAACTTGAAGTCTCTTTTCCACATATTTTCTCTACTTTCAATAGTTATTGCAATAAATTCATTACCTAACCTCAGCTTTACAAGATTTGCAAATTGCAAGTTAAAAGCATGAAAATGCATGGTGGAACTTGGGCCCAAATCCAAGAATATGTCCTAGGCAATCAATAGAAATCAGGAATGGGTCATTTTATTTTTCAAGAAACATTTGAGAGCAACCTCCTCTAATATGTGAAATGGGTGAACTCAATACCATATCATTCTCATAGCTTAGCATGTTAGAAACCCTCTAAAAACATCTAGCTCAATGACCATCATGACTGTCAGAAGAAGTAAACTATTCAGAAACACAATTTTGGGCAGGCACGTATAAATTGTTTCTGAAAAAGTTAACAGCCTATAGTAATCAAGTGTCTTTTTTTAGCAAAACCATTAGTTGCATCATTTCGAGACCGACATGTAAGTGAGCAAGTATTAGTGAAGTAAGCCAGAGAGATACCAGAGAACTGCCAAATTTTTGTGGCCTGCTATGTGAGCTGCAGTATTCAATATTCAAGAACAAATAAAATAGGTTCATCTTTTCCTGTAAATCCCCATCACAATTTTAACTACATTGTGGAAAATAATATAATCCTGTCCTAGTTTGAATCCACATTTTTGTTACCTATCCAAATTTTCATTTCCACTTCAAAACACCAATTCTTAATTTTTCCAAGTGGTTCTAGAACATAACAGAAGAAATGATTCTCGACCAACCAAAAAAACAGTTCGAGGATTTCATGCCGTCATGCTCAGCACATAAAACCAAACTTAGGCATAAGTGACTCCTATAGACATATGGACATGAGATTAGAGCTAGTAGCTTCCCAACTCTACCCTCAATTGACTTCCTTTCCACTTAACAACCTCACCTGTCCTGAGGAAAATTCTAATGTAGACAACAAAGTTTATTACCCCAAGACTTGAAGAATTGGCTATACAGCAAGTTCATTGTAAAGTAGTACATGGAGGATGAACAAGAGAGGAATCAGGGAAATGGAATCAAGAACTACTCTCTGGTCCTAGTGGTTGGCCCAAGGAATTTAGATATAAAGCTTTTTGTAAATCCATTGCTGCAAACGCTCTGTCCTATAGAGTGCTGTTTTATGACTTACAGATGAAAGCCAAGAAGACAGCACGTCAAGTCTCTCTCATAGAAAGTGAATGTGACTTTGAGATGAAAGCAATAAACACGGATTATAAAGTTTCTGACATATTTACCAAGAGCTGGATAAAAAAACAAATTTAACCAGTTAGATTGGATGCCAGAATTTCATTGAGACAGACTATCAGACATCTTTAACTCCACTCCCTCTCAGTCTCTGGGAAATTCTTCACAAATGTGTCATATAAAACTACGTAGATACATCTACTCAGAACGATAGTCTTAACGTAGAACAAGCTACAACATTGACCAGCCACTATTATGAGTTTTGCAATACTTTAAATTCTATAAATGTGCAAAACTTCCTTCATTGGATAAGCAAGTCGAGTGAGGACCAATAAGTGAGAAGTTACCTCTAGTCTCTTTTGTTTATGCTCATATAAGCCCCAAGTTTGATCTCATATCTGAGTTTGATGGTTGAACCATCTTGCTTTTGTTGTCAATTTGGATGCAGAGAATATTAGTTTGAGCTCAAGCATTATGTTGGGGTTAACATATGACATTTTGAGTGCTTGACTGGTTAGTTACCTATAGTTGAGAAAATCCTTACTTGGTATGCTCACGGGCTAGTAAACAAATAATAATAATACAAACTATGAAAGGATCCTGAATCTAAACACAACCCTGTAAGAGTCTGAGACTGCTCTCCAGCAACTCTCTAGTTTGCTTCACTATATCAATTTTAACATTCCCTTTAACGGAAGCAAAAACATAATGAGCAAAAATTTGATATATGGTAGCTATTACTTTAGCTGTAATGCTGAGAGAAGTTACTCTACATTTGAACCACTTATGACTCAGTAAGAGGATCTAATATTTCCAGAGGCTTCCACACATCTATAAAGAAAGAGGGAGAGATGAAAGAACATACATGTAGAGAGCTTATCCACACTGAAAATGGGCATTATGAGGATTTCATGCACAACACCACCTGCAGCCATTTTAACCTCTAGATCATATCTTGCAAAACTAATACAACCAGTTTCAGATTGAACAGGGACAAAATCTAGCATAAGCAGTTTCATGGTCTTTAGCTTTCCAGAGTCAACTCCAGGAAAGATGGCGGAGATATGCAAAATGAATGCAGAGTATATAAAACAAAGTAAGCTTACTTGACCATGCTGAAAACCTGGAAAATAAGTAACTGAATGTAACAGGAAATCACGTGTGTCTATTTAGGCTTCCCCATTCTTTTCCTTCTCAGTAGCAATTGAATAAGAAAATTTTTGCTCCAGCAATGGTCTCAATCTTAAACTGTCTTAACTCAATTTTAACTCTACCATTGATGTCTATGTTCTTGAACTAGAAATTGCAACCCTAAAGTGCCTAGACAACCCCAAAAACCACCAAATAACTGTTAACTGAAAACACCTAAGCCTCTCTATAAATGGTCCATCTTTTTTTTTCAACCTTTCAACCATGTATTCCAACCATTAGCTTAAACACATACAACTTCAAACAGAGATGACAACTTTTTCAGCACAATTATTCTACACAATGTATATTTAGAACTTATTGCATGAAGAAACCTAGCACCTAACACATGCTTCTTTTGTGGAAGCAACCAGCCTGATGTTCTGCTATTGATGGACCTTAAAATTGAACAGGAACATATTAGCTAATATATAAACTTCAATCACTCAGAATAGTCATTGTGGCATATGTTCACCGAAAGCTCAGAGCCTCTGCTAAAGAGCTACTCCAGATATTCAGCAAGTCTAAAAGCGTCATAATATCAACAAACATAAGCACCAAAAAAGAAAATACTACAGGAGCAAAACACTATTAACGAGCTCATTAAGCAAACAACTTAGTTTGAAAGATGAGAAAGTCCACCAGAAACTCCTCAATTCTCAAGAAAACATTATATCTAGAAAACACAATCAATTACGAAAAGGTGCATAAGTAGACAAATGTCAGACAATGATTCTTTCATTAGACGTAGGTAGAACTCTTGATGTATTCATCGTCAGAATTAAAAGTTAGAAAGCAAAATAGCATGCTCCAAAAAAATGGTAAGCATCCTATGTTAACTTTTAACAGAAAACAAAATGTCTAGATACCACTTTCAAACTAAGTAGGATAAGTTTGGGAGGTTAATGGAATGTTAAGGCGAAAGACAATTAGCGATATTAGAGATCCAAAGAGCACCATGTAGCAAGACAAGAAATCCTTGATAGATATGCACTTGATCAAGAGAAGTAAGAGAATCAGAGACTAGTGGATGAAGCCATGATCATCAGGAGTATAGCTCATCATCAGCTTAAGATTGATCTGATACGTGATTGGACAGCTTAGTAGTTGTCAAGATGACTCAGCTAGTGAGGCTCAGCAGTCACAAGTAGTTAGTCAGCGTAGCATCATAACTAACTGACAGCTGTATTATGTAACTACGTATAATGAGGTAGGATTAGCCATGTTGATTGTAGCCAGTTCTTTTCTGATAGTGTAATTTGCAGAAGCAAAACCATTGATCACTCTGATCAGTCTATTCTTCACATAATCAATATCCAGAACTGGTTCCTGCTTCCAGTTCTTTAATTAATTGATTACTACCATCTGATTCTAGTTCTTGCTCTCAATTAATTCCACTTTGACTATCACTGATCCTATCAAAATCCTTTGATAGACCAATCAAAACCAGGACATACACAGATATTCTTGTCTATGCTCAAACACTTTTTTTTTCAATTGTTGCAGGTCTCTGCAAGCAGTTGTTAAAACCAATCTCACGAAGGCCTTAAAAGACCCCCTTTTTTTTCCATCTCGAACCACTCCTACATTCAGTATGCGAATTTTGCCAGGTATCAGATGCAATTAGTAGGAAAAAAGAAACAACTGGAATATGAATCGGCCAGAACAGAGAAAAGCCCTCTTCTCGATTGCCAAAAAATTCATCAAGAAAACCCATGACTACATCGAATAAGCTCAAACACAACTACAAAATGTAACTTTCTCCCACTAGTTATCAAATTAGCCCATCAAAAAATTTTTTTTTTTTAAAACTATAGATCACAAGAGAAGAATAGATTAAAGGGAAACAGAAGAATAACCTTAATTTAGATTCTCATTTTCTTGGAACTCCACAAACCAGATGATGAACAGCTTCAAAGACTAGCAATTTTCCAAGCCCAGAATGGAAATTTCCTTTTTTTTTCCGTTTTGGAGTTAGGGAAAAGGACCGGAGGAGCTGTCCCAGCTGAGGGGCAATGCGTGAAACCAGTTCAGGATCTTTCTTGCTGGATGAAGCATTAGCTCTAAAATTGGCAACGTGTAAAGTTGCTGAAATGCAACACAGAGTGGTCCAATTCCAAGTGCAGAATCAGCAGCTGCTCAACCTTATTCAATCCAAACAAGCTCGGGATATCAGATTAGCAACTGTGGTGGAGGATATTGTTCAACTTAGACTTTTATTTCACCTGTGCTCCTTTTGTCAAGTTCAAAATGATAATTATCATCTAAACTCTAAGCTTAGTACTTATGCTATAGGCATTACTTTTGATGAGGAATTTTTATTTTCTTAATGATTAGATGACCGCTTATATAATTTCATCGAGCCTTTGCTCGTACTTGTACATTTTTTAAAAGGATTATAACCATATATCGTTTTGGAAAAAAAAAGAGTTGTCCCAGCTGAGGGAATAATTGTTTCAGCAGACAATCCAGTGGCGGCAAACATAGTAGCCGTTTGGGTAAGGATTTATAAAGAAAGTTGCGGTATATGATAATACTAATAGATACATACGAATCCAAATTTCCTGATAAATTATTTATTACTATATAGACATAGCATTCTTCCGAATGCTGAAGGTTTCTCAATTTCCAAAGTTAAATACAGCCATATAATTCCACAAGTTGTATGGTTACTAATGTTTTGGGTATATTGTAATAATATAATTATATTTCCTGTGGTGTTTCATTTAAATAATTGATTTAATAGACAATATTACAACTTTTTAACTAAAAAAAAAAAAAAGACGGACGAATATAAGAGCCCAATTGGATTGTGATTTTTCTTTGTAGAAAAATTTTGGAATATAGTGTTAACAAATTTCTCAATTATCTTTTCTTTTTTTTTAAATTTATATACATCACACATCGTTATAGTAAATTTTTTTAATAAAAACTTTAAAAAATTGCAATTCAAATGGGATCTAAATCTTTCAAATCTTATTAACTGTTATTTGCGTTACCAACTTAATATACACTAGTTATCAAGGCACACTCGATACGTGTGTAACTTGTCAAAAAATATTTTTAATTGAAAGAATCATAAAAATAATACAAGTGAATATAATTATTTTGTGTAATATGTAATAAAAATGTATAATACAAAAATATGTATAATTGGAAGTAAAAAAATCGTTAATAAAGGAGAACTTGAGAATTGAAAGGAGATAATTTTGATTGGATAGGATTTGTGTGTCAGAGATGGAGGAAAATTTGAAAACAAACAAAGTTAACACCTATAGAGACTTTATTATTGTAGAGATATTTTGCGGAGAAAAATGATGATTTTTTTTTCTCAAAACGTTAGATTACTTGTATTGATATAAAAGATGACTTTACAATTCGAGCAACGGCTCGTCAAGCTGTACAACTTGTGTTCAACAACACAGAGGAAAAGATCCTTTCTCATCCATCATAATGCCTAAGGCATATGAGCTAACATTAGCAATAGTGTTACTATTATCATTACTATCTAAGCAAAAAGAGCACATTCGAAACAACGACATTAAGCAAAAAATATCCTCTAGGATCATTACCAGTCTTGTAAGGACCCAGATTTTTATTTTCTTACTTTTGTATTATTTTAATGGCTCTATTAAATATTTATTCACTCATTTTCTCAGAATAATTTATTTCAACTACTTTAAACTTATTTACATGGAATAATGTCTCAATTATATTTTTAACACGCCTCGTTAGTAAAATTAATTTTTCTAGAGCTCGTTTAGCGAGAAATAAGGAGTACACATTTTTCGAGACTATGTTTGATCCGAGAGTACATTAATCTTGAAATATGTATTTTTATATTTAAATGTTCAATTATTAGTTAGTGATATAATCGTTATAAGAATTTCTTGGAGATTTCGCTTTATCGCGTCGGAAGTACGCTTTTTTATGCGCGCGATTAAATTGAGGGACTTAAAACCATTATTTTTATACCATTAAGAGTGAATAATAATAGCATGAATACAAGTGCATTAGAAGTTTAGTACACTAGTGAAACAAACTCGAGAGAAATCGAGCACAAAACGCGCGCGAGGAGAGAGTTGACTTTTGCATAATTTTGGGCCACACATCTTAGCTTCTCTTGGAAGCTTCATTTGCATCAAACACTCTCTCTCTCTTGCTCCAAACAGCCGGCCATCAAGAAAGAAAAAGAACCAAGAAGCTCTTCCAATTTCTTCCTCATTTCTTCATCAAATCTTCCACCAAATCACACCAAAATTTAACCAGACTTAGTTAATCACTTGGAGACCACATCAAGTTAGGAAAGAGGGCTACTTTCCACGGTTTTCTTGAGCATCTTAGAACCAAAAATTTCTGCTTGGTTCATCTAAGGAAGTAAGTGATGATCCACTACTCAAATCTTGTCTTATGGAAGTAATATAGCATTTATAAACTGCATACATGTGGGTAGTCTTATTTATGTTGGAAAATATTGTGTGGATTCTATGAATTCCCACTATGGTTGGATGGACTGATTTGATGAATTATGGTGTTATTAATGTTGGTCTAGTGCTTAATTTAGTGAAATAATGTTGTGTTGTTTGTGGAAACTCAAAGGATGTGAAGAGAGAAATTTTTTCATTTCTGCCCCTGTGTTTTCCATGACCCATAGGGTGATTTTTCGTGGTTCTAATGACTTGTTTATGATGTATATATGTAGTATAAATTGTGTACAAAGTTTCAACAAAAAATAACGTGATTTGGTTGGTCAAATGTTGTGTTTTCGGAAATCAGCAAAACTGAAAATTTTTCCCATAACTGCTCTGGCAGTGTTCTTGTTTTGGCTATAACTTTTTGCCCCGATGTCAAAATTGAGTGCCATTTACGGCACTGGAAACTAGACATTTCCAACTTTCTAACAGTATAAATGCACATTCTGGTTCCATCTGAGTCGTCCATACCAATCGTTTGAACATGATAGTCCTGTTTCACGTCTACACTGGGAGCTCTGTTTTGAGCAGCAAATTGATGCTCACATATGAGCTGGTTGTGGATATATTTTGAAAATGGTTTCTTCTAGGAAATTTTAGCATAATGAATCTAGTTTTCAACGCCACCAACCACGCTCAATTCTGAGTTGAATTGAGTTATTTACGACCAGATTTCGAAACTGACTTTGTGGGAGAAAACCCTCATGTTGGACAGATTTGTAACCAATCTTGATTTGAGACTTTCTATTCGAAATTCTTGGTGTAAATCACCTACCAAATGTATCTTGATCCTTATTAGACCTGGTTATCATAAATGAGACATGTTTTAGGCATTTTATTGGCCAAAGGTTTGAGAAAAAGAAAACTAGAGGTGCAAGGCAGCTTTGTCTTGGAGATTTAGAAACTTTGAAGGTTTTGTTAACCAAATTTCTGAATGAATTTTCCTATGAAATTTGGTAGAGGAATAGCCCTTATATGGTAGGATAATACTACTAAACTTGGTGCCATTCCGAGTCCGTTTCGATGTTCAATCAAAGTCCCAACTTTCGTGAATTAAATCTGGAATTTGGCCTAACGGTCTCACTTTTTCAGTAACTTTGAACCGCTATATCTTAGTGCTCAAAATTTCAATTCTTGTCCCGCTTATTTTGTTTTGAACTTTATTTGTAACTCTAATTGAGTTGCAAATTTCAAAGGTTAGTTTACATTGTGTGAATTTTTTCAAATTTTTAAAATTGGCCAAAAATCAACCCAGAAACTGTCTCAATGGTCCAAAATAGCAACTTTGAACCGAATTTTGAATGTTATCCATTTGGAATCTTGAAAAAATGTCATCTAGGAACTTTTAGTACTTTGAAATTAGTTTCTAACGGTATCAAGTTTTCCAATTTTGGACATACGAAGAGTGAGATACGATTTTTCAAAAATTGAACCTCAAATCGAAAATTTTCAAACTTGACGGGAATTGAGTTTTTGAAACTCTTCCCTATCCTTCAATATTAATTGACCATTTTGAACTTGTCTTCATGAAGAAAATCAGTTTTTTCTTGTGTTAATAAATACTACTTTAGAACCTTGAATTTTGAGCAAGTAAAGCCCCATTCCATGGTATTTTCTAGATTGTACAAGTGTACAATCCCTCTCTTGATAAGAAAGGATTTTCAAGTGATGGTGTGTAATAGATAACTATTGTTTGCTCAGGTGCTCAAGGAGACCTTCGTGAGGATCTCGAAGGGAACACCTAAAGGCTTCTTTACGCACTCACTCTCTTATTTTGATTGGTAAGTGTCAAGTGCATGAATTTGTTGCTAAGTGATTAACTATTTCTTATTCGTTATGTGAATTTGAAATTTTGAGACGAGTATGTACTTTATCGCACTCGTTCCCTTTCGAACGAAATTATATTCGTATTTTGCTATGTGAATTCATATTCGACTTGTACATAGTAATGTGGATGGATTCGTATATGTGATTCCTATTTGGAATCGTCGATTTGAGTGTTGCTTATTGACTTATATTCGTATTCGTATTCGGGGGACTCCCAAACTCGTTGATTAACTTTGCGATTCGAGCCAGTATGGGTTTGGTCGATAAGCTTAGCAAACCATGAGATATTCGTAGAGTATGATCTATTGGAGAGATCTTGTTCGGCATTACTCGCGCAGTATTGCCATGATATACTCGAATATTATCAAAACTTTGATGAGCGGGCCCGGTAAGGGAGTGTAACGGTGACGAAATTCGAAGAAAAGTGGTGTATCTACGGATTTGATACTTATGTGGTTGACGGAGTGTCAACATGAGCTGCGATTAAGACTTTGACTCGACTACGTGGAATTTAGCTCCTGAGAGCTACAGTATCCTTGAATTGTTTTCGTTTATTTTCCTATTCGAAGTGTGAATTATTCGAATTTGATAGCTTCATCTACAATGTAATTGTTGTTGCTACTTGGGTTATGTGTTTGCATGTGTGTTTCTTGGTCTCACTGAGTATTGGCTCATTCCATTAGTTTATTTTTCTTAACAGGAACCCGATTGGAAGGAGTTAAGCAAATGCCGACTTGAGGCACTTTTGTATTAGTGTTTTGATTGTAATTGACTAGACACTTTTGGATGTTGTATATTTTTGGGAAAAGTGTTTGTAAATTTGAAATTGTGATGTAAGACTGGATAATTATGTATGGAAATGATTTCCTACCTTTATTCCGACTTTCGTTGTTAGTATTAGACTAGGT